ATGCAAAAAATTAATATGCGTAGAAGGCAAAGAGAAACTCACCGACATGTTTGCTTCTTTGAGATGTATTGATGCACTGGGATTAAATCACAAGAACAAATTGTCACTTTCCATAAGAAGCAAACTGTGTTAGTGCGTTCGGTGAGTAGCAGTAATAAAATAGGACAAAAACGAATTTCGCAACCCTTTCATGCTACCTGTCTTCCGTCATTGCAACGAAGGGCAATTCAACCTACTTGTTTCAAGAATAGAAGAAGACAGCTATTTGTATGTTGTGTTTCGTGGTAAAGTGAAATACCTTCCAAAATTTGAAATTCTTGAAAAAAGTGTTACTCTTAATTGGCTGAGCGATTAGCGAAACCTATTACTCCAGTAATGATCAAAAAGTTTCGCGTCTGTTTGTCTGTCTGCCTGTCTATCTGTCTGTGTGTCTGTTTGTCTGTCATCACGATAACTGAAGAACGAATTGAGCTAGCGAACTGGGATTTTCAGGGTCGATTTGTATCCTAATAAGACAGATCGAGTTCGAAGAGGAGCATTCTAGCTCAAAACTTGGATTTAAAAAAAACCAAAAACCACAGGTCCCCAAAATCGACACCTGAGAAGAACAACCGCCTACCTACGCAGACTGGAAACAAACCCGCTTACCTCTGCAACCCTCAAACAAAACCGCTCACCTCTGGGATACGCAAACAAAGTCGCTTAAATGACTTTTTTACACATTTTTAGATACGGGTATCAAAATGATCACTGAAAAATTATCTTTCGAATGATACCCGTATCTCAAAATGTGTAAAAAAGTCATTTAAGCGACTTTGTTTGCGTGTCCCAGAGGTGAGCGGTTTTGTTTGAGGGTTGCAGAGGTAAGCGGGTTTGTTTCCAGTCCGCGGAGGTAAGCGGTTGTTCTTCTCAGGTGTCGAAATGGCGTTTTTTAAAAATATTTTTTACTGTTTCCTAAGAGGTAACATATCAAAGTAGAGGCCTTCGGCGAAAATTTCGTCCATTTCGCTCTATCTTCAACCGTTTAGGCACCAGAGGGAGTTTTCTAGACGAAAATGACCGCGAAACATTTCTTTGTTTTTTCTCAGATGTTTGTTGGTCTCTGGTAGGGTAACTCGTTAAAATAAAACCCCGAGGAACAAAATTTGTGTCTTTTAAATGCCTACTAACGACTTTGGCCCGACTCGGGTGTCAGCGCCGCAGGCCTAGGTAGATGCATGCCAGGCGCGTCGCAGCGTAACAGTGTGTCGTGAGATATCGCGAAGCCTGTTACGCGAGACGTGGTCTGGCGTACATCTACCTAGTAATTTGTACATTTCTAATGCTGTTTACATGTACTTTAGACTAAAGGTAGTTAATATGTTTGCAATTGTTCCGATTTTCTTTGTAAAATAATATTCCTGAAAGTAAATTTCTTTACTATACTTGTCTGAACTGAAATGTAAAGGTCGTAATTTGTCTGACACTAGCCATAAAGGTCTTATTTTCAAATTGAGTTTCTATATATTTTTTAATATATTAATTTTCAAATCCATTTTGTTCGACTCTTAATAAAATTAGCTGGTTCCTTAAGACCTTCTTTTTTATGCTGAAACTATATTTTAATGACTACCGATCAACTTCACATTAATATTCATGACTTCATTTGATTCTCAAACTATTGTTACAACTTGATGCACGAACATTGTTAATCGTTAATCGGCCCCTGAAGTTTTAACGAACAGTCGTATGCACACGAAGAAATAATCATTCAATTATTCACTTCGATAGATTGAGCGTTGAAAGAAGAGAGGGAAGTCTTCAAAACTTGATGGTTAGTGTTGTGATTCTTTGCTCTGAAAAATCACCACAATAACAAAACCAACAACGAGGCAAGCGCCTTATAGAAACTGCTTCGTCGGCATTCCCCGGCCATGCCAACTTTTACTTATTGTCACAACTATCCAAACACATGTCATTTAACCACCTCTAAAGTGCACATGAATAACCTGAAAAGGGGTTATTAGAGGTGCGTTAAACGTAATAGTGAGGAGAGTACAGAGTACATCACCCAATTTATCCAAAAATATTAAGCGAGTTGTTTTGCAAAGGTTGGTACCCATTGTTAGAAGCCACGCCTCCTTTCTACCCAGTATTGTTGCATTTCTAAACAAACTGCGCAGCTTTGATTTTAAATCGGCAGAAGTTGTGATTGGGTTATCTTATGGCATTGATTAAAAGCTTATTCGGTAGCTGAAGGAACGGTGTACAATCGGCTCGCTTACATTACCATGTTTTAATCAACACTAACTGCATTAGAAATTATAAACAAGACACGAAGAATAAGCGTAAATGTCGCATATCATTCAGCTTGCTGTCGTTCTTGACTCGAACAGCGCACGAAAATTTTGAACATATCGTTCGGAATCTTAATTTTCGGTCTTGAATTTTTGTCTCATACTTTTTTTTTACTGTTAAGTGAAAAGGTAAGCCGCAGGGTTCGACAGAAAGAATGATAGAAATGCGAACCATTGTTGGCTTGGCAGCATTTTGCCGATTTTTGGGGTGATTTTGATGTTAAATTTAATATTTCTCAAAATTGGCCAAACAGATTTTAATGAGGCTATAGTCAGATGAAATCTAATTTTGGATTGATTTTTCATTAAAATTTAGTCAAAATCTGTATTACAGAAGTGGCTGTAGCCGATAATTATGTAAGAAAAGAAAA